CCGCCTCAGGCAGTTCGATTTTTTCAAGTTATTTATAATTTTTAAGATAGTGACTGAGTTGAGGCTGATAATAGTGACTGAGTTTCTTGCGCTGCTTCTTCTCAGCACTGGCCCATTTATTGTCCCAAAGCAGGGGTGGGGTTAAAACTGGGACGTGTAAAAGTGCTTTTTAAAAGTTTTATGAGATTTGAAAAAAAGTTTTACTTACGTATCATGAGAAGGATAATAATATTATTGTGTTATTATTGGTAAAGCGAAATTAAATGGTTATTCTATAAAAAAATATTTTAATGTATAATAATAATCGAAGTCACGGCGAATTTTATTGACTTACCTCGTTAAATTTTTTGATCTGAAATTGTAATTATTAATATTGTTGGTGTACCTTTTTTTAAATAATATATTGTTATCTTTGTGAATATTAATGGACTTATCCTCGAGTAAAGACGTGTAGAGTCATCTATTGCATTCTCCAATAAACTGATAGTCCTACAGGAAGCGTCGGCTACATGAAACCCGGGAGACTTGATGTAAATCATTTGTACCTAGATGGCACTTTCCATGATTATGGAGTCGACCTATTTAATTTAGTAGGTACATGATTTAGTATAGCCTGACCAGGAACATAAAAACCCTCGCCATGTTGCGGAAAACTAATGGTACTAATTTCTTTTAATGGCAACAGTAACTGAAAACTTCATTGACATGTCACCTTGCATGTCAGTCTATTGCTGTCAAAGTGTAAACAAACTTTATTTTAAATGTGCGCAATTGATTTTGTGAATTAAATTGCTAAAATCTTTTTATAGTCGTGAAAGAAAAGTGGTTCACAATGTGTTAAAGTATTTGTCGAAGAGAAATACTAAGGGTTCGGACAATATTTTCATTGAATAATGTTTTCGACAAAGGTTGTCAAATTGACTGACATGTTTATCGTATAGTACAGTCCACTATGAAAATTAGCAGTGGTTTGTTTCAACTACCTATTTTAAAGTTTTTTGTCACTTTCTAAGAGTTGAATTTTATGGAATTGGGAAAGAAGTACCGAGTTTGAAGCGTTCATGAGCAGACATTGCAGTTGAATATTCAAGTTCTGAATTTGATTATTGATGAATAATAAAATAAATCCTTCTAGCTCGATTGATGGTTTCATTTAATTTATTTAAACCAGGTTACCTATAGTAATATTTTTTCGTTAATTTATGAAAATATCAAATAAGCCGGTAATCCTGAATCCTGATACATAAAGTTAGCCTATTAATTTAACACAGGTACGACTGTACTCAGTGTTGCACTATCAAATGCAATTGACGCGCCTCTATGCCAGGGTTTTTATGTTCCTGGTCAGGCTATATAAGGATTTTTTTGGAAAAAGGTAGTATAGCCTGACCAGGAACATAAAAACCCTCGCCATGTTGCGGAAAACTAAATGGTACTAATTTCTTTTAATGGCAACAATAACTGAAAACTTCATTGACATGTCACCTTGCATGTCAGTCTAGGTATTGTTGTCAAAGTGTAAACAAACTTTATTTTAAATGTGTGCAATTGATTTTGTGAATTAAATTGCTAAAATATTTTGATAGTCGTGAAAGAAAAGTGGTTCACAATGTGTTAATGTATTTGTCGAAGAGAAATACTAAGGGTTCGGACTAGGGCATGGATACCGGTATACCGGTATATCGAAATACCGGTATACCGGTTAAAATTTTCGGTATTTTGATACCGGTATTTAAGGGGAAAATACCGGTATTTCGGTTTTTCGAAAAAAGTGATCTAATTTTGCAATATCGGCAGTTTTTCAACTAATGGAAAGTCATTGATAGGTTTTACACCATCTCTTTTTAATTTTATACTTATTTTTAATATTGATTCAGATGATAATGATTCGAATCATCATATCGATTCCAATAATCGATTGAGTCAAGTCAGTTCTGCTGATATCATTAAAGCGAGCACGAGCATCTTAATAAGCACGAAAATATACGTATTAATTAATGACCCTCTCTACGTCCAAAGGCTCGTCACCACACGGCTCCCAAATCTTGAAAAGGGCCGTCTTAACCAGCGTATCCCTGTCAAGCCACACGAGTTGGATTTGCCTATCCTTGTTCCCAGCCGATCCTTAACTACGGTTGCTGAAACTCTTCCCAGCACTCTCTTGAACGACTCTGTGTTATCTACTATGGCTGCTCCTCTTCCTTGAACCCTACTGCACGACTGCGTTGCCTAGCCGTATACCTGGTCCAAGGTTCGACGCCACGAAATCAACTTTGTACGCGTGAAAATAGTTTGAATACTATTTCCCGTGCTTGCAACATTTTTCTTTACTGCTTCGCCCCTATTAGACGTAGCGTGATCGTATAATATCTTATAGCCTTCCTCAATTTATNTGCTTTCATTTATTGTTAGTCAAACATAACTACGCTATTATAACTTCAAAATATGATTTACTAAAAAAAATTTCAAAATCCTTTGGTAAAGTTCCATACAACTTGATGTGGTACAATTTAGCCGACTAGGTGATAGTGCTTTTAAAAAATCGGTAAAAAATATAGCTTATAAATACTGAAAAATGTTTCAAATAATTGTAATCCACAGTAATTTACGCTTCTAAATAATATATTAGATACACCCTATGATTAAATTTAACAAAATTACAAACAAAACATGTATTGTCAAAAGTTACTTGAAAACAATTAAAAAATACTTTTCAAAATAAAACACACGTGTTTGTTGTCACAGCAAAAACCACATGGCCGATATTAATTGATTTTAGTTGTGTATCGCTGAGTGTTGCAATTACAGACATTCAATAAATAGGTACTTTACGAAATATGAGGGTGGTACAATTTACCCGGCGGTACAATATACCGAACTCTCCCCTATTACTCCTTATCCAATTTTTAATTAACATTAAGCGTCATTAAAAGACTATTTTGGATAAAATAACAATGACTTATCGAACGTAAAGTTCGTAATCAATGTTAAGTATCAGTCTGATCTATCAGGAACCATATTTTATTATTTTACATATTAATTAGTAAAAGAAAAAGTATGGATTAAATCATAAGACCGCCTAAATTGTGCCTTTTAACTTTGTAAGCATTTCTTGTGATTGACTGTGTGTAGTAGTGTTCAATAAAATAAATACGTAAATACTTATTCTATCTATACTTAGCCATAAAATATTGCTAAATAAAACATAAGTAGTATTTACAAATCGCTATCTAAACGTCACCCATTTATTATTCATATTCGTATTTCCCCAAGCTAATGAGCAAACATTAAGATTTATTTTTATTTACACTAATTATGAAGTTCAAAATACTTCTCGGAAACTGGAAATAAAACCATAATATAACGTTCTGTATTTCGATAATCGACCCTTTGTAAAAATACATGACTAATAGTGAAAACCTAACTGTATTAATTCGTAAGAATTGTTATAATTTTATAGTATTTTAGTACTAGTTTTGGTCGCCCGCTACGGGCTAAAAAGCTAGTTTATAGTCTGTTATTATAAGAATAAATAAATCAATCATTGCTACTTTCAAGTATAGTAGCACGGTAATAATATCATACAGTATTATAACTTCATATAAACCGACGAAACGCGAGCTTTCCTTCGAATTTCAAATCTCGGGACGCGGTCGAAATCCAAAAGTTAGGGTTAGGGGTGTCGCGAATGTGCCGAACGGACGTCGATGGCCTAGCTAGTGTTGAAAATGACTAAGGTGATTGAATTTGACTACCGTCATTTACGGTCAAATTTGTCAAAAACAAGTTATTAACAGTCAAAAATGGCCATTTTCAGTCAGTTTGATTTGAAATAAAAATTATATTGTATTAAACCAGCTTTTGCCCACGACTTCATCCGCCTGAAATTAAAGTAACAGGTCATTAAGTAGGTACTCATTATGATTAGTAGATTCAAAATTATATTAGTATATTTTTTTAAATTAAATCTACTAACACAAAACAACACGCATTTTTATCCTATTCCATTCACAAAGTATTTTGTTTGTCTAAATAAAAAAAATTACAATCACAAAACTAGATAGAAATTCTAAGTAGACAGATGTAATTAGAATGGGTAAGTACTGTAGGTAGGCAGCCCTATCGCATGTTGTCATACCGTGACGTACCGCGCGACTGTTGACATTTATTTCAAAAATATGGCCGAGTTGGAATACTGTATAGATAGGGTCCGCCCCGGGTGCCAAGCATCAGGGGGTGACACAAGTCACGCAGATTGGTACTCTGTGGCACATCGGGATGGCAAATCTGTGGTCTATGTCATGATACGGGGGGGGGGGTGCTGCGATTGTCTTTCAATCTTCGAATCGGTAGGTCCCCCACTACATCGGTCCCAAAATCCAGGGGGTGGGGGTGCCTTAGGACTTATGACCGGGGGGGGGATCGCCCCGGGTACCAACCCATGCTACGCCGCCACTGGGCTTAGATTAGCTGTACGATGTGGTTTTGTCAAAATAGAATAACTACTAAGAAGCACCCCAGTCTTTCTGTTGATGCCGTAAAAGGAAACTCCGAATTCTGAATTGAGGTTTAGGGTGTTTGTACATATAGACCAAGTAGCCATGATGAAGTACACATAAACAGTTAATGCTAAATTATTGTGTGAAACAAGCTGTATGTAACTGCCTCTGTGGTCTAGTGGTAAAACTACCTGCATCAGACGCAGAGGTCCCGGGTTCGATACCCAGTGGGGGCAGATTTTTCTGTTCGGTTTGGTTAGTGGTAGGGCTTGTTCTTAGTCCGCCGGGCTAGCTACCACCATCTTACCTGAGTCTGTCGCCATAACAACAATGTTATAAGCATTGTTGTGTTCCGGCAGTTAGAGGTAAGACAGCCAGTTCCTCCGTGGTTGAGGATTCCGGGTGAAGCTCGCTTCCACCTTCGGCCTGATCATCACTTACCATCAGGTGAGATACAGGCCAAGAGCTTCCTCGTTGTGGATAAAAAAATGTTTTCTGAATTAAGATAAAGATACTAACCGAAGCAACCAGCGGCCGGTCCAAGGTGCACATGCCCAAAGGGGTGTAGGACACGGAGCGCAGCATCAGCTGGCGGGAGAACAGCTCCAACCGAGTGGGCAGTAAGCCGGTAGTGGGTGCTGACGTCATCAGCCGGCAGACCAGACCCTCGGTCCTTTTGCCCTGGTACAAGATATTTTGAAGTTAATGAAAGAAAACAAACAAAACTAAGAAAATCCTGCACCTGGTTAAATCATCGTACTAGCCGGATACGGCCGCCCGCGACTTCGTACGCGTGGATCCCGTTTTACCCCCTTAGGGGTGGAGTTTTCTAAAATCTTTTCTTAGCGGATGCCTACGTCATAACATCTACCTACCTGTATGCCAAATTTCAGCCCGATACGTCCAGTGGTTTGGGCTGTGCGTTGATAGATCACTATGTCAGTCAGTCAGTCAGTCACCTTTGAGTTATTATATTTAGATTAACCAAACTTGAAAATGTACCTCTTGTATAGTATAATGTGAAGGCTCCACGACCACACACATCCTCAGCAGATGAGTGGCGCACCACAGGAACTGTAGAACCAGAAAATGCACTCGGTGGGCTGATACAACTGGAAAAATAGATGATTATTATCAGCTATATTTGAACAAGCTATTGTAACAAGAGGCAGGACAAATATCACAATGATTTTTCAGACCATTGAGAAGATCCTAGTGGAAGACTGGTAAGCCCAGCTTAAAACAGTGGCTGTCCAATAGAATAAGAAACATACGTAATAAGTACAGCTTTCCTGCTACGTGCTGCTACACTCCAATTACTAGTTTTGTCTAGTCTAGAGTAGATAATATAATATAAGTAGAGAATATCACTATTTGCTACTACCTACTCTAGAAAAAATCAATCCAAATTGTTATTGCAATGATCTTCTCAGTATTTACGATGCTTTCATGATTCTGATGCAGTAGTTACAACAGAAGAGTGGCCTATTTGTATATTCAAGCGGTGATGAAAATCGTGACAAAATACTTACTGATCTCCATAATCAAGAAGTAAGGCGTCACAATCAGGTGAAGCAGCGTGGATATGAGGATCACAATGAGAGGGATGCCGTAGCTGTCGTCTATTCGATGCACCACCTCGCAGAGGGTGCCATGGAGGGATGCTAAGCCGTATATCGCCTCGCAAGGGGACACGATGAGGCGGGACTCTCCGCTCACTGAAATTGATGGTGCAGTTTTAGGTGGTCACATAATTTGAAGTTGGCATTTGATAAGTTGGACTGAATTCTACCTAATCAAATCAAAAATTATCTAAAATTACCATCAAAAATTCTGATAGTTTAGATAATTCGACTGATAGTGGTAAGCTATGGCTAAGTACAAACTTTACCACTATCAGTCGATAAATTATTCATGGTCATAAAAAATATAGAGAAAAATTGCGCCTTCCGTGGTTTTGCCTGAGTGGACTCGTCTCACAGAGAAACTGCGGGCGATATTACCTATTTATTGGACAAAAAGATTCATTCGTTTTCTCTCAAGTCTTATCTTAGTTAGTCTAAGGCTGGGTTGCACCATCTTAGTTTAACTTTAACAAACGTCAAAAACCGGTTATCGTTATAGATACCGTTAAAGTTAGGTGGTGCAACTTAGCCTAAGCATCAAAACGTAACAAACAAACAGTGGCCTCAAAAGTTCAACGACATGCCAGCGATTTGATCGCTGCAGTCACTTTTCGTATTCACGTACCAACTTATTAATTGTTTCGATTTCGTTTTTATGCGTATTCGATCGTGCCTCCGCGGTATTCACCTTTATCTATTTTGAAGTTTGATTTAATTGGATGTCAGTGATTAAACGTCAAAAATGACAAATCGCTGAGTTGCGATCCTATCGAGTAATCGTTCTATCGAAATGACACGTGAATACGAATATACACGGGAATTTTTCAATTTCGACTTCTAAACGTTAACAACATTTTGACTATTACAAAATACGTGAATTAGGCCACAAGCAAATGTAGTTACTTTCCATTTCCACAATATTTTTTCTTCTTCTTTCTTTCATTTACTGTCTGATTGAAGAAAATATACTCACCACTTCTCTTCACAATGACGGTAGGTCGTCTTTTCGGCGTGGCGTCCATGAGTAGACTGACGTCATCGGACCGCTGCAGGTCGTTTGGGGTCACTTTGATCGCGAAGATGTTCAGGGGAGTCGGCCTTCGGATTTTTTCCACTGAAATGTTACCAATATCATTAGAATTATGTTGAGTGGTGCTTAGGTGCAAATAAAGTGATGAGAGAGAGTGTTGAATATTTAAAATTGATATCTTCCACTATTACGGGACTATTCCCACCTCTCGTTCCCACCGGTGCAAAACCTGTGTAGGAAGGATCTACAGCTTGACTGCCAATAAAAACCCAACCTCACTGGTGGTCAAGGTTGTCCCGGGGGAAGTTTAACTGTCATTGGACCCGCAACGGAATTCTGAACGGGTCTGGTCTGGTGCCCCTCAGGATTTTACCGATTCTAAACTGAATAAATATGGTTGATTTTGATTTTTTTGGTTTTAATTTTTTTATTTCATGACCGTCCTTGTCATGTAGATGCACCCGTGAGTACAAATCTACGCGACTGTTGTCAAACAGTCTAAAGATATTGTCACTGTAAGCCTAGGCGCGGACCACAGACTTATTGTCGGCCGATAGTTGGGTCAGGCTGATATAATCTGTTATCTTAAAGTACGCACATTACACCAATTTGGTATCGGCTGATTCTTCATACAAATTAAAATCGGGCCCAACTATTGGTCAACTAAAAGTGGATGCTCTGCGCCTAAGCTAAATTAAATAGGATCCATCTAAGTACTAACCGGGTACAGCAACGCATCGTGCCGTCAGCGCAAGCACATCGTTGAGCGCTCGGAAGCGCGCGCGCACCGATAACGCTGTGAACGCGAACTGCAGCTCCAGGATCATCACCACGTACCAGAGCAGGTAGAAGCCGATGTAGTTTAGGACTATCTCCCCTGAAAAAGAAAAATGGAAGTAATTTATCCTATAATCGTAAAAATAAATAAATACACGTTTTTTTTTTCTCTACACATTTTTACTATGAAGGTTGTGAAAATATGCATTACGAAGCCTGAATATAACACTTAATGCAAACAACTATGCACATTGCACGTATAACTGCACTAATATCCCTGAAGAAGAAAGTTTCATAATACCTAAGTTTCTAAATATATCTCCAAAATCCTAACCCTGGTACCTGAAGAAAATCATGTTCATTAAGAATGAAAATACAGAAAATGCAAACAGGCTTTGACCTCATTTACATCCGTAGTAGGTAGACAATGTGACTTTAAACATAAGATCATAAGTTTGTTGACAACCAACTTACATTCTCTATCGACCTTCTTGGCCTGCGTCGCATAGAAGCAGAAGTCGTCCACGATGAGGACCGAGAAGAAGATGAGCAGTCCCAGCAGTATAGCGCACAGTTTGCGCTCCATCACCGCCGAGTATTGCCCACTGAGGGTGTTGTCCACCTGCAAGAACTCCTTGTGATTATACGAGGTAACACTAGTGGTTCGTTAAATAAATAAATAGAAATTTTGTTGAAATACGGCCCTGATTAAGTGATCAAAGAGCGCCTTACACGAGCCTAGAAACTTGGAGCCTCTCCCAGTTGCAACAGTATGCTAAACCGTGACAGCTCTTGTGACTGGCATCAGGAATTTTATAACTACACTCACCTATTAACCCAGTACTATGAATATTGAAGTAAATATCATCACGAAGGCATTTTAGAAAACTACCTTAGCTTACAGAGCTTTAGGAGGTGCCTCTGCAGGAATCCGTGGATCAAAAAGAGTTCTACTTTGAGCAACCGCCTCTGTGGTCTAGTGAGCACCTGCTTCAGACGCAGAGGTCCCGGTTTCGATTCCCAATGGGGACAGATTTTTCTGTTCGGTTTGGTTGGTGGTAGGGCTTGTTCTAAGTCCACATGGCTAGCTACCACCATCTTATTTAAGTCTGTCGCCATAACAACACTGTAAACAGCATTGTTGTGTTCCGGCAGTTAGAGGTAAGATAGCCAGTTCCTCTGTGGTTGAGGATTCCGGGTGAAGCTCGCTTCCACCTTCGGCCTGATCGTCACTTACTATCAGGTGAGATACAGGCCAAGAGCTTCCACGTTGTGGAGAAAAAAAAAGCTATAACAATCATTAATAATTCTCACTGAAACAATCCTGTCCATGAGTTTGATCATGTTCCTCATGCGCGTCGGTGCACCATAAACTCCCGCCGCCGCTGTGGCCACCACCACTAGTACGTCGCATGTCGATACCACCTACAATTAAAGTCGTTAGTCAAATAAACATACCAGGAAATGTTTCTACATTGAAAAGAGTCGATCGGAATTTTTTATACAAGAAAATAAAAATATTAGAAAATCATCATCATCATCATTTCAACCATAGGACGTCCACAGCTGAACATAGGCCTCCCCCAATGACTTCCACATCGCACGGTTGGTAGCGGCCTGCATCCAGCGCCTTCCTGCTGCTACCTTTATCAGGTCGTCGGTCCACCGTATCCGTATTGGAAAATGCATCTAACAAATCCTTTGCATTCCATGTTGCACATTTCATAATGTCTTAAAGCCAGGGACACTACGGGACTATTCCCACCTCTCGTTCCCACCGCTGCAACTCCTGTGTAGCCAGGATGTACAGTTTGACTGCTAATAAAAATCCAACCAATGAGGATCAAGTTTGTCCCGCGGGAAAGTCAAATTGTCATTGGTCCCGCAACGAAATTACCTAATCAGAAGAACATATGTTTTTGGATTGGAGTTGAAGGAGTTCTTTTTTTTTATGTGACAGGAAGCAAACGAGCATACGAATCACCTGATGGTAAGTGATTACCGTCGCCCATAGACACCTGCAGTCCCAGAGGCGTTACAGGTGCGTTGCCGGCCTTTAAGGTGAAGATACGGTCTCTTCTTGAAAGCTTGCAGGTCGTATCCGTCCGGAAACACCGCAGACGACAGTCCATTCCACAGTTTGGTTGTACGCAGTAAGAAGTTTCTAAAGAAACGTACTATTGTGGACTGCCAACCATCTATGTGATGGGGATGGAAGTGCTGTCGGGTAGATCGGTGGCGAAAAGTGGCGGCAGGAATAAGTCCGGACAATTCTTCGGAGCACTCCCCGTGATACATGAGTTCGAAGTTAAGGTTTAGTGAGGGATAGACTAGAGGTAGTTCCTGCTGGCATATTCACCTGAGACATTCGCGACGACATGCGCACTGACAGCTGGACGCCTGCATTTATTTCGGCTACCAGCCCGTATATTGTTAATATAACTGCGAAAAGACAAGGAGGGATTAGTAGACATCTTTACGTCAGTCGTTACATAATACCTTTAAGCGAAGTCAGCATAGCTTAAAATAATTGCCACCTAATATGTATTACTAGCTTTACGCCCGCGGCTTCGCCCGCGTGGTATTTTGTCTGACACAGAAAAACTTTATCGCGCGCGTTCCTGTTTTAAAACCGGGATAGAAACTATCCTTTGTCCTTTCCCGGGACTCAAACTATCTCTATGCCATCATCAAAATTGCTTTAGGCGTGAAAGCGAGACAGACAGACAAGACAGACAGACAGACCGATAGCAGACAGACAGACCGACAGACAGACAGAGTTACTTTCGCATTTCTAATATTAGTAATCGATTATAAATTGTTTTTATAAATAAGAACATGGCAAAGTATACTTACTTAAAATACTGACTAGAATATAGCTATAGATGCACATGGCACTGGATAGAGAGACAGTGAACCCGTTGGCACGAGACTCGAACCGCAGAGGGGCAAGACCAAAAAAACTTGAAATCTGTAAAAAATAATATACCAATAAAATACCAATAATCCGAAATACCACGACCACGAGCCGGAAGACGTAGTGTGGGCAGGCCTCCCACTAGGTGGAACGACGATCTGGTGAAGGTCGCGGGAGGTGCCTGGATGCGGGCGGCGCAGGACCGGTCTTTGTGGAAATCCTTGGGGGAGGCCTTTGTCCAGCAGTGGACGTCATTCGGCTGAAACGAACGAATCCGGAATGATAACCTGAAAAAGGTATTCTTAGAAGACAACTACGAGCCTACCCTCGTAGCGCTGTCGTAGCGAACTTAAAATGGCTCTGCTACGAAGTTCGTAGGTACTACGAATGTTCGTAGTTCGAATCGTAGAAAATAGCTTCGTAGTAGCTACACGCTTCTAAAATTGATTCTAACTCAAAGCACAGAATAGTTTTTTATTGGTTACATTTCAATATTTAAACCAATAACAGTCTTGGTATTGTATTTTTTTAAATTACTTATTCCCGGTTAAATTACTTATTTTTTTAAATTACTTATTGCAGGGTGTCATTCTATTAACTAGGTATATCCTGTAACATCTTATCTAGCAATAAATCTAAATGTATGCTTGAATTTTAAGTAAAGTTTTCAACGTCGTGTATTTGTCACATACTGGCTAAAAAAAAAAACATTTTTATAAAGATAGAAAAGAAAAGAAAATTCAAAAATATAACATCGAAAACTCAAAAATACGAAACGAAAATTCAAAAATAGGCTTGTTTATGTCCGCGAGTTTGCATCGAAAACAAAACACGCGCGACTACACTTCCTGAGATATCTAATCGACAGGACAATCACGAGCGAGTATTGACGCACGCACGTGTATTCTTCACCCATATGCATTGTAAAGACAATAAACTATGTATGTAAAAACGGTGGTGTAATTAATACTGTGCAGTATTTTTACTGCCTGATTAGTTGTAAAATCGAAACACAAAATAATAATCATGCTTAATCATGTATTTCTTCCGCCATTTTCCGCAGTTCGGCACCTCACGTAACACATAATTTTACCGAAGTCAGCCCTATGGCTTCGGCGCAGTACCGATCACTGACGTTTGTCAACAAAATGGTGCTCGACTCTTGAGACAAGCTAAATTAAATTACAAAGGAAATTACACCATATTGTTAACGTTATTGAGCATTTTTTTTAAATACCTTCGCGAAGAAAACCTACTGTACATAGTACTTATTATTATTCTGTGCACGTACCCTCAGTATAAAAGCATGGGAACCCCCTACCACGCTTTGCGTGACAGGCTCCGACGAGCGCACTGCTTGCGCCCGCGCCACGTCGCCTCGCACCTCGCTCGCCTCCACACCTGGAGAAAATACATCATCATCATCACCATCATCATCATCATCATCATCAACATCATCAGATAATTTGGTATCTACAGCAGGAGCACGTCCCTCTCACTTTCAAACTTGGAGAATACACATCATCATCATCATCATCATCATCATCATCAGATAATTTGGTATCTACTAGAGATGAAACGGATATCCGGTAACTATCCGGTAGGCCGGATATCCGGCCTAAATTTACTATCCGGCCGGATACCGGATAGTAACTCACTATCCGGCCGGATACCGGATATTAAAAAACTACGACAATTTCCTATTAATAAAATGAAATGCATTAATCTTTGAGGTAAATGTCAATAAAATGGCTAATAATAATGACGGTTTTTATTTAAAGTCCAAAAACTTACAAAAAAGCCATATTTTTTGCCATGCCTTTCAAAAAACTTATTTCTATTTCTGGGCTATTCACTCTAATGACGAATACATAAATAGTAAATATCTGTTAATGTCGAAATATTGCCAAATAAAATAGACGATCTTTTTTCACTGATGATCTGATGACATGGTGTAGTTCAATCAGATTACGCAGCAAGTAAACAAATTAAATTTTGCTATTTAATCACACTCACGATGGCAACCGAAATCACCCGAATTGATCTATCCCCTAGACAAGTGGCAAAATCTGACATTCTATTCGGACGGATTTGATTTTCGAAAAGTGTGACTAGTCTAGTCTACTAATAGACCCACTGATCGCGTCCGAAGCACCTGTGCGGCTCTAAACTCGTCACGACATGCAACGAGACAATTGGCCAACTATCCGGCCGCCGGATATCCGGCTATCCGGTCTAGCAGCTGGCCGGATATCCGGTATCCGGTATCCGGCCAAACAACTATCCGTTTCATCTCTAGTATCTACAGGTGGAGCACGACCCTCTTGCTTCAAACCTAGAGAATACACATCATCATCATCATCATCATCATCATCATAATCAGGTAATTTGATATCTACTGCAGAAGGACGACCCTCTCGCTTCCTCACTTGGACAATACACATCATCATCAGATCATTTGGTCTCCACTGCAAGAGCAAGACCCTCTAATTTTACAGAGGCCTATACACTCCACGCTGGTCAGAAGAACGTTAGTAGCAAATACATACCTACTACGAGTAGGTAGCTATGTGGGGGGTGGACATAAAATATGGAGTTCTTGCAATTTAAAACATGAGAGATAGACAAAATACACACTATACCCCTTATTAATAAAAAGTTACGCCCAGGATGAACCATGGATTAAAAGGACATGGAAATGTCTATTTTAATCTAAATGTCAATTTAGCCAGAGTTCAACTAGGGAGTAACTTTTATTAATAAGGGGGCTGTGTTAATTATATTAGTACTCTTTTCACAAGTTCACAGATCTGTCATTACCGGATGATCGTCCCCGACCCTATCTATCACATCCACGCGACACCTAACACAAACTTTTAATTAATTTGTTTCTTTAAAGTTTATCATGATAATGACCGATTACTCTATCATAATTTAGTTATTTCATGTTCAATTTATTTATTTTTTAGCATTTCACTATTTTGTAATATGTAAGTCTGGGTCATATTATATGATTAATGCGCAATACTCTAAAAACTAACAAACAAGATAATCTACACAAACACCGCTCTCAGTTTAGTCTACAGGGTGAAAACGTTAAGTGATCTCACTCGATTATTTCTAAACTATACAAGATATCGAAAAACTGCTTACTGAAACTGAAAGTGCTTCACAAGCTCTTTCAAACTGTACCAATAATAGGTTACGGAAAAAACCGGAACTATCCGAAAATTCAATGTTTCCAGCTTCCATACTAAATGTATGCCAACCACACAATTTTTTTTTTGTTAAATAATAAACTTAAAATAAACTCGTAATTTGCATTCTTATTTAAAATTATTTATGGAAAAAATTAGTTTTAGGCTTTACTTGCTATAATATTATAAAGAGATGAGTGCCATGACTGGTAGTACTAAATGTATAGAAGATGGAAACATTGAATTTTTGGATAGATCTAGTTTATTCTTTAACCTATTGTTAATACCATTAGATAGAGCTCGTGAAGCACTTTTAGGATCAGTAACCAGTTTTAAGATATCTTGTGTAGTTTTCAATATTATGTGGCTTTACTAAATGTATGGAAGCTGCAGGAAACATTGAATTTTCGGAGAGATCCAGATTATTCTGTAACCTATTATTGATACCGTTTGATAGATCTCATGAAGCACTTTCAGGATCAGTGACTTGTTTTTTAATATCGTATAGTTCAGAAATAATCGAGTGAGATCACTTATCGTTCCCACCCTGTATTATTAATTAAGTGTGTATTAATCGGTAAGTACTTTACATACGAGTAATACCGACTAATCAGCATTTGCAAAACAAGTGAGTGGTTCATATGTTTTGATCGCCCCACGCAAACAGGTTAATCTAGATTAAGCCTACAAATTGCACGTATCTCTTGTTTTTGCGATTATATGCGCATAAAATAAGCCGTGTGGTGACGGCAGAGTAGAATACATTTGTCACCAACCCCTACTCTTCCCGCGGGTGTCGTAAGAGGCGACTTAGGGACTACACATCAAACAGAGAACGGGCAGCAGCGCTCTCTGAAAAACATCAATCTTTTAAACTGCGATCTCCTACCCGCCTGCCAAGCGTGGGGATCATGGCAAAACCCTCCACTATAGTGGCGGAGGCTCGTAGTCCAGCAGTGGACTGTAAAGGGCTGTTGATGATGATGATGAAAACATATCGACAAATACGGAGATTCTAAGGCTGGGTTGCGCCATCTTATTTTAACTTAAACATACGTCAAAAGTCTGTTAAACTCCATACTAAAAACCGGTTATTGTAATAGTTACGGTTAAAGTAAGGTGGTGCAACTAAGTGCCTATGATTCGAGAGTGCTTTTATCCCACCGACCGCTAGAAAAATGTGGTCAACCAACACACTCCTAATGTAAACATTTGTAGATTTTATGGAGGGTTTGACGGGATCTTTAGTAATTTGTGCGCTACTAAGTAATTACAAAAAACAGTAGGTAGGTACTATACAGGGTGGCCAAAACAGTGAAGTCTAAAAGAAAAATTTAGATTCCTTACATCAAGGTGTACCTAAATCACCCCCATGTGTATAATACGATTGTGCTTAGTTTAGGAGATAGAGTTAATTTTGTGATATTTTAAAATTTTGTGACCTAGTAGGCTTTAAACATTTTTATCTTTTTTTTGGGTTGACTTTTTTCAGATTTCTTTCTTTCGACAGATTTGTTATTAATTGCAGATGTTTGAAAAAAATAATCACCTTCCTATCTTTGATTCAAGATACAAAAATTTTGCTAGAAAAATTAAAATTATGCTTTTATCAGAACACTACCAAATTTTCAACTTAAAAGTTTAAGTAAAAAAAAGAATTTCCATAGGTCCAAAACCATTTGAAAAACTGCGCCGTTTTCTGAACATTCATAATAATACAAAAAAACATGTACTTAATGGGCCACTATTTCCTGTAATCGGTCCACTAAAGTGGTAAGTCGGAGATTCCGTTACATGTTTTTGACTTTCTTAGAGTGAATTAATATTGGGAATCCTCTAAGTTTACATTACGTAGAACAGATTTAGAGCAGTAACTGGACAGAACATGTTTTTGTTCTCAACGAGGAAGGTCTTGCCCTTCATCACACCTGGTGGAAACTGATGATTAGGCTGAAGGTGGAAGGGAACTTCAACTACAGAGGAACTATGGCTTCCTACCTCCAAATTCCGGAATACAGTAATGCTTTTAACATTATTGTTATAGTGACAGACTTAGGAAAATATAGAGTTGCTAGCCAGGCAGACTTAGATCAAACCCTACCACCAACCAAACCGATCAGAAAATTTCACCTCCACTGGGAATCAAACCCGGGACCTCTGAAGCTTACCTCTTACCACTTGAAGACATTTGTTACAATTGGCAGTTGTTACATTTTACTATTACCCTTGAAATACCTACTACAGTGAGAAGAAGAAGGAGGGATATTTGGTTTATGTTCATTAAAACTTACTTAAAATAACAATGTGTTCCGTAATTTGGAGGTAGGAAGCCATAGTTCCTCTGTAGTTGAAGTTCCCTTCCACCTTCAGCCTAATCATCAGTTTCCACCAGGTGTGATGAAGAGCAAGAGCTTCCTCGTTGAGAACAAAAACATGTTCTGTCCAGTTACTGCTCTAAATCTGTTCTAAGTAATGTAAACTTAGAGGATTCCCAATATTAATTCACTCTAAGAAAGTCAAAAACATGTAACGGAATCTCCGACTTACCACTTTAGTGGACCGATTACAGGAAATAGTGGCCCATTAAGTACATGTTTTTTTGTATTATTATGAATGTTCAGGAAACGGCGCAGTTTTTAAAATGGTTTTGGACCTATGGAAGTTCTTTTTTTTACTTAAACTTTTAAGTTGAAAATTTGATAATGTTCTGATAAAAGCATCATTTTAATGTTTCTAGCAAAACTTTTGTATCTTGTATCAAAGATAGGAAGGTGAATTTTTTTTTCAAACATCTGCAATTAATAACAAATCTGCCGAAAAAAAGAAATCTGAAAAAAGTCAAACCAAAAAAAAGATAAAAATGTTTAAAGCCTACTAGGTCATAAAATTTTAAAATATCACAAAATTAACTCTGTCTCCTAAACTAAGCACAATCGTATCATATACATGGGGGTGATTTAGGTACACCTTGATGTAAGGAATCTAAATTTTTCTTTTAGACCTCACTGTTTTGGCCACCCTGTATAATACTATATTAATAACAAAGAAAGGGGTTTACGTTATGTGTGCTCGCTAGCGAGTACGTCAAAAAAATCTATGAAGATTTTATTTCTTGAAAGTAGCCGCTANTTCGGAATTTATCAAAAGTAAAATTTATGAATGAAAGTAATGTTCGATTGAAAAACGCAACGTGTCATTTAAAGATTAAAGAATTCTTAATCTATTCGTGCAAAAATCTTTAAAATTAACATAGCCGTTTGGGAGGAGTAGGGAATTGAAGTAAAAAATCGATGTCCCGTATTTATTTTTTTAATCCACAACAAAGAGACGTAGGAAAAATTCAAACGTGTCAAATGTAGTCCTTGAACTGTTGTATAACATATATTTTTTTCAACTATTTCTGTCCAGCAGTATAAGAGGAGTAGGCTTTACAAAATGACCATTTCACGCGGATTGAGGACACTAATCGCCTTAACTAGCATGCGTCCGTGCGAGTATTTGTATCGAAAAATAGTATGGCTTAGGCTGAGTTGCACTCCTTGCCAGACAGTTTTTTTAGGATAGATGCCAAAGCCACGCTAATCGAAACTTCATGATTCACCAGCATTCTAACCCAACGTAAGTCTAACTTTACGGTGGCTTTTTCTGTATATTCAATTAGACTGTAATTCTACTAACGTTATACCATTAAATCTGATTATTATCTATACTAATATTATAAAGAGGAAAGATTTGTACCTCTTTTTGTATGTTTGTAATGAATAGGCTCAAAAACCACTGAACACTTTACAGTATTATTGTTCATAATCCAGAATAACATATAGGCTATAATTTATGACGATCTGTGACAAACGAAATTGCACGCATGCGAAGCCGCGGGCGGAAAGCTAGTGTATAATATTTGGACAATAATTAGAAGTATTTTCCCCTAAAGCCAGACAGTTTTGACAGTTCCAACTCCTTGCAGACAGTTTTTTTAGGATAGCTGCCAAAGCCAAAGCTAACCCAAACTTTCAGCTTTTATAAAATGACGTAGGTCTGGCGTTCAGAAGTCTATTAGCTACGTGTGTCCACTGTCCTTACACATGAGTACTGTATAGGTTCATATATTCAAAAATATCTGTAACATTTCTAATTTATCTACAAAGCATTCAGCCTTGGTAAAGAAGCACGTGTACATATTTGCTTTGCATATCACCACAGAATAATAATAAGTACTACGTACAGAAGTTTTACTTCGCGAAGGTATTTAAAAAAATGTATGCTCAATTTAATTAACAATATGGTGTAATTTAGCCTGTCTCAAGAGTCAAGCACCATTTTGTTGACAAACGTCAGTGATCGGCACTGCGCCGAAGCTATAGGGCTGACTTCGGTAAAATGATGTGACGTGAGGTGCCAAACTGCGGAAAATGGCGGAGGAAATACATGACTTAGCATGAATAATATTAACTACTTATTTACCACTCAGTGTCTTGAGGCAACTTAAAAAAGTACATTCTGTGTTTTTATTATTATTTAGGCAGTTAAATACTGCACAGTATTTAGTACACCATTTTTTATTTTCTTCCATCATACACAAGAATACGCGTGCGTGAGTCAATGTTCGCTCGTATGTGAGGCCTTGTCAAATGGCCCTCCTGTAGGTGGGCCATCGTGCGTGTTTTGTTTTCGATGTAAACTCGCGGAGATGAACAGGCCTGATATCACGAGTATTCACTAAATTACTGCTATTTTTTTTTAAAAGTAGGTATTACAATTATCTAAAATTGTTAACTAGCAATGCGTCATATTTTGTGATAGTGAAAAGATAAGATGGAAACATGCATACTATTAATAAGTAGGTACCAACTTTTACAAACATTTTACGTGCGTAATGAAAAACCTATTTTTAATGGTATTTCAAATGAACAGTAGTGAGATAGGTGCGTAAAAATACATTCCTACATAATGAAAAAATGATATTTAACTTAGCAAAGTCTCTTAAATAACTACATTAATTCTTAATACTGCAGTGCAGTTCAGACAAACAACATTAGAATCAAGATAGCCTTACACAATCCTACTAATATTATAAATGCGAATGTTTGGATGTCTGGATGGATGTATTGTGATTGTTACTCTTTCACGCAAAAACTGATTTTGAACTACTGAACGGATTTTGATGAAACTTTACAGTATTATTTTTTATAATCCAGAATAACATATTATAAGCTATAATTTATGACAATTTGTGACAAACTAAATTTCACGCGGGTGAAGCCGCGGGCAAAAGCTAGTATTACATAATAATGCACATGGTAATCTACAAAACAAAAGTGTGCCTTACTATAACGTTACATTGTGAATCCATTATGGGACCGCCCGGGCCCAAACGTAGTGCTCATACAAGCACTCTGCAACGGACAAAATAATAAAACATAAACAGCGAGTTCTGTGTCAATATAAAAAAATCATAACCCTCCTTTTGCTTTGCCGTAGTCGGGTAAAAAATAAAGCAGATGGGTTCAGTGTAAAAGGTAAAATTAGGTATCAGAGGCCTGGACTCCACTTTCGTTTTCGTTGTTATGTTTTAGGTACATAAGATAAGGAGGGAATTAACTAGAATGCATTTTATTTACGCTTAAATTATGAAATGAAGTTTAAAAATACATTTTGTAAACACAATTGCAGTATGTGTTGCTGTGTAAATTGAGACACTGAATTATATTTGCATCGCACTAATAACATCTTTTGTTGCCAACTCTCGGTCCCCACCTTACACAATAAACAGGTTTCACACACTATCAAAATGATGACTGCGCTTTAGGTGGTATTTTTATCTGAATTAAGTATGCTATAAATCATAGACTTTAGAGACAGCACGAGCGAATTATTAAGTACATTTTGCTACGATACAAAACTATGCTATAGCAAGTTAAAGGGCTAAGGCCTTCACGACTTACAAGTAGTTTTACAGTACTACGGACCGGACGTTGTCATGCTACGTACGCTACAGACTGCGGATAGTCGTGCTACATTGCTGCGGGTTAGAGAAGGCTACAGGGCTACGGGCTACGTAGGCATGTTAGTGCTTTATTATCGGCTACGCATTAGCAAAGTCCGGTCGCCGAGCACGTAGAATGTCGTCCAATGACCCCAAGCTACCCATCCTTATCGTTTGCGCGTAATTATATTGCTGTCGCGACTGTGCGACGGGCAGCCGATGTGAGTGTGCGAGCGCGACAGCAACATAATTACGAGCGATAAGGATGGGCAGCTTGGGGTCATTGGACGACATTCTACGTGCTCGGCGACCGGGCTTTAGTGTATTATTGTCAGTGCTGCGGCCTACGCAATATGCAATCGCTACGCCCACGCTACGTACAGTTGTGCAGGCGCACCGAGGGCCAGTCGTCCATGGCGTCGCAGTACGCGCGGCTACAGTACGCTACAGTGNATACGGCTATGTGAACTGTTATAACTCCAATTTAATGCATTGAGCGTATATTAGGTTCACATGTGTTCTGTTAGAATGCTGTTATCTATATGAAGTTCCACATTTGTACCACTAAAGCGCTAATGTCTATAAATTTATTCTAATGTGAACTTATGTACAGCTTTAAGATGTACCTAGTTCAGGTCAATTGTGTATCTTTAATTCTTTTAAATACTGAAATTTTAGAGATCCGCAATAAAAAATATTAATGTCCGTTAAATCGCCTAGCCCAGGTACTAATAGTCAAGTATGAATACCTAAAGCATCAGACGGTAGTGTTCCCGGTTTAAATTCGTTTATTATGCCTGACAATTTATTCAAAGCGGAATGAGGAATACGATTTTCAATAGCCCATGTTCTTATTTTTTTGCGAAAGGTTAAATAATTGTCCAAATCAAAATGGTATTCACTATCACTAGAACTGCAATCATCACACTCTGATTATCTGTATATTTTGAAGGCAAATTTCAGGTTCAGGCATATTTTCCTCTGCATCATGTACAGAACCACCATGAACAACTAAAAACAGGCTTGGGGAAATGTGTAATAGAATATCACATTCACATTCATGTTCAGCTTAAAGCAAATAAGAGTAGTACTTGTGGACAAATAAACTGCTATTGATGTTAATGGACAACACATATAGTCCTTTTAACAGCCTACAGTGCACATGCGAACCATTGAAACAGTTTTGTACAAATAGTAAAAAAAGGTTATTTTAATTATCACAAACAAGTCCTACTACAGCTACTAGCTGTATAACAGTCTAAAACAAGTAAACATAACAGCCTTTGACTTTATAAATGACCACGTGTGTTCTATTAAAATGCTAGCTCTATAACATCGTACAAGTAGGCCGTTAAACAGCGGTTGCCGTATCTCTACCCTCCTATAATGCTCTTAGTCAGACGGCTGACTAAAGGATAGTTGTTAGAGTATTATAACACCAACAATCGTATAAAAGTATAACTCTACACTAGTCTACACTCCTATAAGTCCCTTAGACAGGTATAGGTGTAATTAATTGCAATAATACAGCTTATACATCACGAGTGAACTGTACTAATGCTTTAAGTACACATTGGAACTAAATGTGAACTCTTAAATGGAGTAAAATGCTACTTGGGTAGGGGCGCTGAACAATATGTCATACATTTAATGTAATTTTTTTACGCAGTCGCTAACGAGGACACCGTAAACTCATGGTATCATTACCATAATGGACTGTAACTCAATTACCTATATTGGACTGTAATTTACCGCGAAAATAGGCTACGTAAGCCATCTTCGGGCACACCAGCGCCGCCAAGACAGCTAAGAGTCGGAGTGGTCGCCATGGCCGAAATCGGTCGGATGGATCATCATCAGACTTTGTTTAGTTTATTAATATGTATGACTTATATTATTACGACTGGAATAATTGTTACATGCCATAATTTGGCGAGACATGTTGAACTTGTATTATCAATTTTGTGTTCCATCCTATGTACCGTGTTTCATGTAATAAACAATTTGAATCTGTAGTACAGTAGGTTCTGGAGTGGAGGCCGCGTACCGGAAAACGCAGCGTGGGACGTCCACCCACAAGGTGGACCGACGACATCATAAAGGCAGCAGGAAGGTGCTGGACGCAGGTCGCTACCAACCGGGCAACATGGAGAGCATTGGGGGAGGCCTATGTTCAGCAGTGGACGTCCTATGGTTGAGATGATGATGATGATGATGATGACTGCAGTAGGTACGTACACCAAGATGCGGCGTCGCAAGATTACCTACCCTAAGAATGTTGTCCACACAAATCAATGTTTCGACACGATTCTACTATATATATTTGCATGGTTTAGAATCGCTCCATGTAGTTTTAATATCTTTAGAATTTTACAGGTTATTAGAAAAGTACTAATAACCTTACAAAAATTAAAGAACATTTTGAATTTGCCGTGATTTATCTCCTTTGTAAGTAGTTTGGAAGTTATGTTGAAAGATTATTTATGTTCTGGAAAAAATCAAATGAAATCGCGATGTAAGTTAGCACAACACCATCTATTATTTCATGAACACATCAACGCGCAGCGGAGTAGGGTAGTCTTTTACAAGCACGCTTTTGCACGATTCTTTTGAGCGAATTCGTCATGGGGAGATAGATACCAAGCAACCATTTTCAATGTCCTCCCTATTCCCTAATACATGTATGTCTCAGCTATTGAATGCTTTGTTACTTTCTGTCAAACGTCGAGTACGCTGTGTTAAAAAGAGACAAAAGTGTTAAATGATAAAGGATTGTTTTAGTTCTTATGAATATAGGGGTAACACAGGTACTTGTCGATGAATGCGGACTCCTCGATGATTAACTTCTACAATTTTGTATAATTATGTTTTGTACAGTACAACTCCGAAAATCAAGCGTGATAATATCATAATTGTAATTTTAATTCCGCAGTCACACTATTGGGAAAATTGACCGAACGGAAACATGAGCCACACCGAAGTATGAGCGACGTTCGCGAAACTAACTGAAGTAACGCGTTTACATGTCTCGATCAATTTCCTGAATAAAGTAACTGCGCCATAACAAGTGCTGTATTTGCAATAAATTGTGATGGTCACTACATTAAAGAGTATTGTATGTATTTAAAAAATCCCTGGCTATCGCACAACTCTACAATGTATTGCTTTATAACCCTTAATCAATTGATACAGGGTGGAAAAAATCAAGTTTTTCGTACTCGATATTTTCTTGACAGTTCACCTTTTTATAATTTTAGTTTTTTCACTTTTTAATGTACTTTTTGTTGCACAATTGCCCCCGTATTATAAGTGCGTAAAATTCCACAGTATTTAGCTTGACGTTCTGTCACAATATACAACTACTTATAATAATATTTTTGTTGCAAAATCGTTTTTATTACAACAAATAAACTGATATCTAAGCACTGATCCATTGTTGTTATATTTTTATTTTTATTAGTGGCATGCAATTTTCATTTGTCTACGCCATAGACTCTACGGCCTTTATGAAAGAAAAAAACATTCTACTTGACACCCTGTATAAAACGATATGTAGTAAATTGAAACTTCATTGCCTTATCAGTTGATGGTTTACAATCATTAGGTACTTCAAATGATGATAATATTTTTTAAAGTATTACTTTTTCCTGAAACCATAATATAACGAGTGCATAAGTTTATTTCTTCGTCATAAAGCTCCATGACTAGGTATCTATTTAATTATTTGAAATGCTCTTAAAAGTAATCAATTATATTATAATTTATCTACTGTAATCTACATTATTATATCTACAGGGTGTTAGGTAAATGGGTATATGAGCCGACACTAGCTCATGTTAACATGGTCATATAAATGGTATGGTGAAGTCAGAAAATTGATTCTTCATTTTAATTATTTTATTTTTCATACAAATCGGATTTTGTAAAATTTATTTTGTATGAAAATTAAAAAAAAAATGCCAAAGAAATCTCTTCTGTACCAGTTCTATTCGTAAGGCATGAGCTGTGTTGGACAACTATTGGAATTTGCATTTTATACTTAGCACAGATATCCGAAAGTTTCGGTATAATATTATTCCAATATCCGTAACCGTATACATAACCGAAACTACATATCCATAACATCCCTGCATAATACAAGTATGAATACAAACGTACGGATCAATTTGCTCTTAAACATCGGCATCACTGTAACTGTATACACTTCAGAGCCCTTCCACATCTTATTCAGAACGTTTCAGTTTCAGTCGTCGCTGAACAACTGACTGTCAGCAAATGACGCTGTACTCGGCTGATATATTTATGGTCATTTATTTTCTTTCCCTTAATGGACGCGGACACACGGCTGTCGAGATTAAGCACATAACCTGATATTTTGTTTTCTATGAGAGAAAATAAATAAATTTCTTACATTATTATTATTATTATTTTAATGTGATATACGAACATCATGTAAAAATCTATTTGCTTTTGGTAATTTAGAGTTAGCTCTTGCGATGGAGACTAAATGATTTGATTATGATGATAAAATTACATCGAGCAGAGGTCAAAAAAGTATAACGCCCGTATTCATAAACGATAGGTACTTGCTTAAGTGAAGCAGCAAATCGAACGCACAGCGTTGAATACAACTCTGTGATTGGTTCGTGTGTGACCCTGTGCGTCGACGCGCACTGTGAGACCTCATAGTAATCTTTGTGAATACGGGCGTAAATATCTATACCTACACACTTATCTTTCTTATTAATTAGTTTAGGGGTGCTTACTTGGTATATGAAGTTTTAGCTTTGAGCGTTTCTTGGGACGCTGTAAAGTGCTATTGGTTGACATGGCAATTCAGTGAACATCGATAAATTATGATGAAGTCCATGAAACTCAAAATTAAATGTCATATTAATAAACTTAGTTTATAAGACAGTGTGTACGCATCCGTAGTGATTGTTTTGACTACGAAATTGTCAACAATCTGAATTAGTTCAAACGTGTCATAAAATTTCACTCAACTGTATTAGATGTTAGAAATAAATTGATGTCGCTAATGGGTCTATTTGCTTAATGTATTTATAAACAAAAGGCTTCTAAGTGAAGTTAAATTGTCACGTTGAAATACTCCAGTTATAGGTGATTTACTAGGGTTCTTTCAGCCTATAGGTCATTGATAAATTGTATAGTTAATTTCAGCCAAATGACGTCCACTGCTGGACAAAGGCCTCCCCCAAGGTTTTCCACAATGCACGGTCCTGCGCTG